TTGTTATATATATTAATGCCCCTGACTAGGAAGGAAATAGCATAATTTCAACAATTGCAAAACAATACAAAACTTGAAAACAGTGACGAGGATCATAGATTTCAGGAGAACACAGACAGCCTACTGAAAAGGGCAGACACATCACAGAAAAAAAAAATGCAGTGTGAAGTAACTCCACAGAGACTGGTATCCCGTCACCAAGTCACACTTTATTTACATGTGGAGAGTCCTTGGCACAGATTCAGCTCCCTCAGAGTCAGCTCTCAGAGGGAACAGTATGTCTGACTCTCCTGTTCTTATCTCTGCCAGGACTCCCTAATTGGACCAGATTAACAGTCGTAATTAGGGAACTCATTATACAATGTTCACCTGGCTGACCTCGTCACAATCACTACACAGAGGTGTGAAATAATCCATTCTGGAAGAAAGACAACAGGAATATAAATGGCATAATTCAACACATGGTTCAAAAGGAGAGTGAAATCTGGAAGATCACTCACAAAAGATGAGAGAAAAGTTAGAATGGCTTTTAAAAGAAAGTATGGGATGATGGGGCTCTACAGTAGTGCTATTAAATGCAAAATCAGGAAAATAATATAAATGTCAGTCTTGCCTCAGTGGTAGTACTATCTCCACTGATTATGATTTCAAGGCCCACTCCAGGAACTGGGTACACAATCTTGGGCTGACACTGCAGTGCAACACTGAGGGAACATAGCCCCATCAGGGGTGATATTTGTTGAATGAGATGTTAAACGGAAGCCTCAGCTGCCCTCCGTGATGAAAATAATACATGCCAGCGTCTAGAAGAGGAGCAGAGAAGTTCTCTCTCATGTGCTGGGCAACATTTATTTATCAGCTAACATAATTAATAGAGACTCTGGCCATCATCATTTTGCTATTTATGGGACCTCATATGGGCAAAGTGGCTGCAATGCTTTCTACATTAGAATGTGACCAGATTTTACAAGCACTTCGTTGGGTATAAAGCCCTTTGGCATGACGGGAGGCCATGAAAGGCATTATATAATTCCAAACGCTTTTTTGTACATAATACAGCAAAAGAGGACCAAGAAACTGACAAGGAAAGGGAGAAAATATGAATGCAATCTGATAAAAAAAACGTATCTATTAAAAAAAAACATACGTGCAGACTGGAAAGGCTTCTAAGGAAGGAAATGTTTGGCTAAAATGAATGTGGGTCCATTATATGCAGGGTCATATGAACTTATACTGGGGAATAGAGAAATAGTAGAGAAGCTAAAGGAGCACTTCGTATCTGTCTTCACTCAGGAATATTCACTAAATCTCCGAAAAATAGAAGTCAATAGAAGATCAGTACTTGGGCCCCAGCCATTCACAATATTTGGAAGTGGGGATCAAATGTAGTATTGCCAAATTTGCAGATGATACAAAGCTAAGTGGGAATGTGCATTCTGAGGAAGAAGTAAAACTGTTTCAGGAGAATATTAGAGATAACAAGGTGTAGAGCTGGATGAACACAGCAGGCCAAGCAGCATCAGAGGAGCAGGAAAGCTGACATTTCGGGTCTGGACCCTCTTCAGAAATATTCAGAGAATATTGACAGGCTTATTGAATGAGCAAGAACATGGCAGATTGAATATAAAGTGTTATATGTGAGGTTCTCCGCTTTGGTAGGAGAAGCAGATGTGAAGAATATTTCTTAAATGTTAAATCTCTGCAGATGTACAAAGGAACTTGGGTGACATTGTCAATAAGTCTCTTAAGGCTATCATGTAGATGCAGCAAGCTATTATGAAGGCTAACAATGTTGGCCTTGATTGCAACAGGATTGCACTACAGTAGTGGTAATGAAGTCTTGCTTCAATTATACAGCAGATTGGGTAGACCACACCTGGCGTACTGTGCGCAGGTTTGGTCACCTTACATCAGGATATTATAACCATATAGGGAATGCAACAATATAATATATATATGGAATGCTCCACTTCCTCGGGCAGCTCATTCCATGTACACACTACACTCTGAGTGAAAAAGTTGCCCCTTGGGTGCCTTCTAAATCCTTCCCTCTCAACTTAAACCTATGCCCTCTAGTTTTGGATGCACCCTACTCTGGGGAAAAGGCCTTGGCTATTCACCTTATCTATGTCCCTCATAATTTTATAAACCTCTAAGTTCACTCCTGAGCCTCCTGGGAAAGAAGGCCCAGCCTATCCATGCTCCCTTTATAACTTAAACCTTCCAATCTCAGTAACATGCTTGTAAATCCTTTTTGCAGCCCTTCCAGTTTAATAACATCTTTTCTATAGCAGGGTGACCAGAAATGTACACAGTACTCCAAATGTGGCCTTACCAATGTCTTGTAGAGCCATAATATGACGTCCCAACTCCTTTACTCAATGCTCTGACTGATGAAGGCAAGCATGCCAAAAGCCTTCTTCACCACCACGTCTACCTGTGATACTACTTTCAAGAAACTATGTACCTGCACCCCTAGTTCTCTCTATTCAACAACACTCTCCAGGGACCTACCATTAACTGTATAAGTCCTGCCCTGGTTTGTCTTACTAAAATGCAACATCTCACATTTATCTAAATCAAACTCCATCTGCCATTTCTCGGCCCATTAGCCCAATTGATCAAGATCCTATTGTTTTAGATAACCTTCACTGTCCACTATACAACATTTGCGTCATCCGCAAATATACTAATCATATCTCCTATATTCTCACCCAAACTGTTTATATAAATGACGAACAACAGCAGACCGAGCACCGATCCTTGCAGACACAGGCCTCCAGTCTGAAAAACAACCCGCTCTCACCTCCCGGTGTCTCCTACCATTAAACCAATTGGTTAGCCCTTCCTGGATCCCATGTGATCTAACCTTACTAACCAGTCTACCATGCGGAACCTTGTCAAAGGCATTGCTAAAGTCCATGTAGACAACATTTTCTGTTCTGCCTTCATCTATCTTCTTAGACGCCTCTTTAAAAAACTTAATCAAGTTTGTCATATACAATTTCCTACACACAAAGCCATGCTGATTATCCTTAATCAGTCCTTACCTTTCCAAATGCATGTAGATCCTGTCTCTCAGAATCCTCTCCAACAACTTACCCACTACGTATGTTAGATACACTGGTCTGTAGTTCCCTGGTTTTTCCTTGCACCTTTTCTTAAATAATGGCACATTAGCCACCCTCCAGTCTTCTGGCACCTCACTGGCAGCTGAAAATGATACAATTACCTTCACTAAGGGCCTCATAATTTCTTCCCTAGCTTCACACCATGTCCTGGGATCAGCTTGATCAGGTCCTGGGGAATTATCTAGCTTTATGCTTTTTAGACCTCCAACACCACCTCTTCTGTAATGTAGACTCTTTGCAAGACATCACGATTTATTTTCCCGCGAGTTCTCTAGCTTCCATGTTTTTGATGAGGAGAACTTTATTTTTATTCTGAGGGTTCGGAACTTTCCAAATGGTCTACCACAGAGGGCTGTGGAAGCTCAGACTTTGAGTCTGTTTAAGATAGAGATTGATCCATTTCTGATTACCAAAGCATATAAGGTTATGGGGGTGGTGTGGGAAAAAGATATTGAAATGTTCAATCAGCCATGATAGTATTGAATAACAAAATGCTATTTTTATTCCAATGTTCTTTGTAAACTATTATAAATCACTTGTTAATAATCCAATTTACGGCTATAATCAATTTGGGCCTACATTCAATTCTGGATCACACTTCCAGTAAGAATGTCAAAGCCTTGGAGAAGATGTACAGGAGGCAAACTAGAATATTGCTGGGGATTTGGTTATATTGGGGATTACAGGAGATGGGATTGTTTTCTTAAAATAGAGAAGACTACGGGGAGATTTAGTAGTAGTGTTAAGGAATGAACAGCTTTGTCAAAGTAAATAAGTGAAACTGTTTCCACTGGCAGGAAGGTCAGTAACCAGAAATGCAGATTTAAAGAATATGCAAAAGCACTCGATGGGCAATTACAGAATTTATTTTACACACTAAAAGTTATGATCATCAGGAACACATTGCCTGAAGGAATGGTGGGAGCAGATTCAATCATTACATTCAAAAGAGAAGTGAAAATATATTTGAAAAGTAAAAGAATGTAGGAATATAGAGAAAAAAAATCAGTGGTGCAGAGCTAATTGGACATCTCTTACAAAGAGCCAGCACTGACAATGGGTAAAATATGCCATATGATTCTGTAATTAGGCCAAATCAAAAAAGTTTGATTTGGCCTACAAACAGTAGCTCAGTATTTCACAGTCAAATGGGATGCAGAATGGTATAATATGATTATACGGTTGGTGAATCACAGATTTACTTTTGCCACTGTATAAATGATGTTGCGCTGTCATCTTAATGTTAAAAATTGGCTAAATATTATAAGATCACCATTCATCATGCTTACCAATAGATTAGTAAATATGCCGAAAGGAAATATTAGTGATCGTCACAAATGCTTCTTCAAAGATTTAAAGCATCATGGGTGTACATACTTTCCAGAAATCATGGGTGTAACTATTTTACAGAAACTGCCAAAACCATGGCTATCAGACATTAGCACTAGATTCCTAGCAGGCCTATACTGAAATGTTATATGAATGGAGAATCACGTTCTCAGGACAAAAATGTGACTGTTAAAAATACCAATCAAGTGAACAATGCCAGCAAAGGAGCAGCTGAAATCTAGATTGATTTAGATGGAGATTTCCTAACAGCTGAAAGACCAAGAGGTATTTGTACTCTTTGGGACGAGAAATTTGATTTAAAACCTTATCACAACTTATTCAGAACGTTTTTAGAGAAAAAAATAAATATTCATGCAAGTAAGGGAACATCTCAACCAGATTTGTTTCAACTCAAAACATTGTAATTGCTTTTGAGCTAATTATATAGCGAAAATGTATGAAATAACTTTACTTGTTACACAAATACAAGTTAGGAAAATTATGCAGGAAGTATAATTTGAATATTACCACAAGACTAACCAATCAGTTCTCTGGTCTTTGCCTCTATCTCTCCCAGAAGCGTCTCTGGATTGGCTGCAATTTTCTCCTCATCTGCACAGTAACTTTCCAAAAACTTCTTGTATTCAGGATCTATAGTTGCATAAAAAAAACTATGTTCAAATATTTATCAAACCTAAAGCAGATTTTAATGGATGCAAAATTCCTCTTTTAGAAATTACTTTCTCTGTAATTACTGATACATCAAAATCACAAAACGATTTTGAATTTGTGCGATTATTGTTAGTGGGTTGTGTTACAAAGACATTGAGGCATTTCTCCAATTACTATTAAAAGGGTCTATTCAGATCAGACTCTAAATCTTACAACTTAGTTCCTGCAAACATTTTGATTATGTATTTAAAAGAAACTGTGATCCCTTTAGGATAACACTAAACTTCAACATGTCACATACCAATTCAAGAATTTGTCATGCTTGTTTGTTCGCAATGCTAATCACGGGATACGTGAATAGGCAAGAACATACAATTGAGGTAGAAAAATCACCAAGCTCAGTGGGCCATATGGTTTACTGCTGCTAATTTTTCTTAAGTTCTTATATTTGAAAAAAATGATTTGTTGGTATTTTCTCTGTCAGTTTACCACTGACTATTGAGGGGGGGCCTATAATCCAATCTCTTTCTTATTTCTTATTTCCACGCATATAATTTCACTGGACGATCTCCCAAGAATATCCTTCCGTAAGTGCAGCTGTAATGTTAACCCTAACCAAAAACACCACATCCGCCCTCTCTTGCCTCCCTTCCTATCCTTCTTATTAGCATCTATACCCCAGAACATTAAGCTGCTAGTCCTGTCCATTCCTCAGCACGTGACTTATTGTTATGGTTGTTTGTTTAAGGGACTGCTGAAATGATCTGTCAAATGGGAGGGAATCTAATGCTTATTTGATAGCTATGATATCCCAGTCCCATGTTCCCAACCATGCCCTAGGTTCATCTGTCTCACCTGTCAGGCCTCTTGCATTGAAGTAAATGCAGTTTAATTTATCAGTCTTATCTTGTTTTCTGCCAAGCTGTTTGCCTTGACTATTTGACCTGTTCCCCTTACCTGCTGTACCAGTCTTAGCCTTTTCCCTTTTCTTAACATCACTTTGGATTCCACGCCCCCACATACTAGCTTCAGGCCTCCCAAGTAGCACTAGCAAAGATATTGGTCCCCTTCCAATTCAGGTGGAACCCGCCCCTCATATACAGGTCATTTCTATCCCTGAAGATATCTCAATAGTCCAAAAGTGTGAATCCTTGCCCCCTGCACCAGCTCCTCAGACATATATTTATCTGCTCTACCCTCCTATTCCTACTCTCATTAGCATACGGTACTAATAGTAGTCCAGATATTATTACCCTCAAAAACCTACTTTTTATCCTCCTGCCTAATTTCCTATGCTATTTTATTCTATATTCTCTCTGCAGAACCTCATCCCTTTCCCTACCTATGTCATTGGTACCAGCATGCACAACTAACTCCCACTGGTCACCTTCCTCTTTCAGAATGTTCTGCACCCTCTCTGAGAAATCCTTGATCTTGGCACAAGGAGGCAACACACCACCCTGATGTCTCACTGATGGCCGCAGAAACATCTGTTTGTCTGTGCCCAGGCTAAAGAGTGCCCTTTTACAATTGATTGCTTGGAAACTGATATACCCCTCATTACAGTAAAGTCAGTCACAGTACCGAAACCTGGCTGTCAGTGCCATACTCCCTTGAGAGGTCAACCCCCATCTGTATCCGAAGTGGCATATCTGTTTGAGATGGGCACAGCCACAGGAGACTCCTGCATTAACTGGTTACTTCTCCTACCCTTCCTAGTGGTAAACCATCTACCTGACTGTATCTGAGGTGTGTCCATCTTCCTGAAACTGCCATCCATCACACCCTCTAGCTCTTGTAAACTCCTCATTGCCTCTAACTGTTACTCTAACCAATCCATGCCGTCTGATACGATCCAACTCCATCCAATTATTTGGTTAGCTGTAGCTTGAATATTTCATCTTGGGTGCCATCACCTTCCAGTGACACCCATAGAAAATTTGCTTTATGGCCTTTGTGACCTTTGCTTAAGAAGTATCAAGACCAAGTTCTACCAAGAGTACCATATTGTGGAAGTGACTTATTGTTATGGTTGTTTGTTTAAGAGACTGCTGAAATGATCTGTCAAATGGGAGGGAATCTAATGCTTATTTGTTATGAGTTGACTGTCATGCTGAGAAGATAGGTGTCACACCAATGGTTTTGGGGAAATCTTAGTGATGAACTTTCAATTTTTTTTCAAATCAGTGACTGCTTGAAGTTCCTCAGCTTTTTTCCCCACCATTAGTCCTTCATCTTTCTTAGTTTGGCAGCAAGTATTTTATGCAAAAGCATCTGGCAGTCTTTGCTGGTGAGTTTGCATCCAGTAAAATCCGTTAATTCTTTCTGAGAATTCTCAGTGACATGCTTCAGGATATCAATAATTTCAATGGCGAGTTTATACTCCAGTGCTTATTTTTTGGCTATATCTTCCTCTCTACAGTGTTCATCTGAGCAGGTTCCCCACCTCCATCACTTGCCCCCTCCATTCCATCATCACCCCACATATCTGATCCTTGCCTGGATGTGCCTTGTAGGAGCTGAGGGACTGAAGTTAACAATTTTAATAAAGGACAAAAGGAAGAAGACAGTGTCGCTAACCTAGCAGACATAGGTGTATGCTGCAGAAGGGAGCAGAAGTACAATTCTCCAAATCTGGAATCAGTGTCCCACAAGGTTCAAGGAACTCGGATGGCCAGGAAACATGACTAGCATAAAACCTTCAGGTACCAACTCTTACACTTCCACAGTATGCTCTTGGACCAAACTCTTCACGTTAATACAATTTGCAGCTCCATTACTCTCTCTCTCTCCAGACAGCTTCTTACACACATGCGAACACCCAACATTCACATTCATTCTCATCTTTGGGCAAGGTCATACCCATGCCTGACAGTCACCCTCCAAAAACATTGTCCTCCTTTCTTCTTATATTCACAACGTTCTGCTTTTTCACCTCAGGGAAGACAATCCAGAAATACAGGTTGAGGCAAGGACGCAGGGCAATTGGGTTGGGGGGAGGGCTTCAGTGATTCACTTTGATGATCACTAGAACTAGATGCGCACCTGCTCATTGGGAAGCAGATTCTGGTCCAGGAGCCTGTACAAGGTAGAACTGTGTAATTTTCTCCCGTTCTGTGGTGAAGGCTGACGTCAGGGGAGAATATATCAAGGTGAGCAAACTGACTTCCATAAAGTTGGAAATCAGCTGTTAAATAAAAAGTGAGACGCACAATCAGAAAATGCTGTAAACAGCAGCCTTTCCTTTTCACTGCTGGATGGTTTTCTGACCTGCTGGATTGACAAAAGAAGCAGTTCCCCTATTCTCTCTCCTACTCTCATTGACCCAGGCAGGATCTGGAAAGTTAAGGAAGCATTTGCACTGGCTTTTAAAGCCAGAATGTTATATTAAATCCTGAACTAATTTTAGTAACTTAGCCCACACAGAGGCTGTAAAGGTAATTCCCTTGCTCATCTGCAAATTTGCTTGAGTTAAACCCAGAAGTGAATACCAGCATGCCAGGTTCACGATACAACACTGTTTATCAAGCCCACCCTTGGCAGTTAAAACTATATCTTTTAATTTTATTCACCTATTATTCAATTTATTCAGTCCAAATGTATAACGTTTGACAACCATTAATTTTGATGGACATAAACTTCCCTTACAGTATTTTTATTTACCTATTTTGTAGAAAGCTCACACACAATTTTGTGTTATGTATTCAATCAAAAATATTATGGAGTAATAAAATTTAATGAATACACTTTTAGAGTTTTTTTGTTGCTGCACGCTGGCAACACTAAAGTTGTTGGGGGAAGTTCAATTAAACTTTCTAGTTTTGATTTAAATTAAATACTTTTGAGGCTGCACAGCACATCAGTAAAACTTTGGAAGCAGCCCCGGAGTGGGGAAGCAGCAGGGGAGCGGAGGCCGGCATGGGGAATTGAATCCCGGAGAAAACATACCTTGGAGCAGCAGACAGCTGGTGCAGAGCAGACTGAAGGCTTGGAGCAGAGCAGGGACGATTGTTGGACTGGGGTCTGGCGCAGGTGGTCAGACCACATGTGGAAGCTTCTGTGCTGAGCTACTGCAATATAATGGTTATTCGAAATTTCTTTCGCTGTCTGTAATGTTTATCCTTTTGACTATGTCTTATTTCTAACTTGTAATATGAATCACTGTAAAGTAATGTAACTATTTTTCTTTTCTATTCTTCTTTTTATATCTAAGATTTGTACCGAAGATTGCGCCACAAGAGGCGACACTGTATACTTTTCATTGTACTCCTGTACTTGAGTACGCGTTACAATAAAAGGATATTCTAATTCTAATTCTTAATTATTGGTCTACCTGTTAACATTTAGCAATACAGGAAGTAGGATGCATTTAGAGGCCCAAAATAAAGCAGTGTTAGAATACATTGAACACACTGAGTACATTCACACAGTAAACAGTTACGTTCCATAATCATTAAGGGTGCTTTGATGCCATACTGTGACTACTGTGCAGATCCCCATTATATCAGCAAACTCAGAATACATTGTAAGAAGGATAATTGAGTTGCCCTACTCTTGAAAGAGACAGTAAACAACTGTTCCTTTAACATAGCATGCTTATGGGGAGGATCTTATAGGATGGAGTTTGTAAAATACATCCTATACATCCATAAATTTTAATTAATGCAGCTTTTTTAACTGACCAAAGCATTACATTTTAAGCATAAGGCATTATATTTTTTTTCTATTTCTGCCATATAGTATCATTACAGATATGATTCTTTACCTTCTTATTGCTTTTGAATTTGTAAACTGATTTGCTAGGAGCAACAAGGAAGGTTGAAAATCCAAAATCATATAGCAAATAAAGCCACTTAGACATCAGACAATTGGTTTTGGGTTGCGACTGAAACATAAAAGAATTTCAGTGCATTCATTGTTTAATGGGCCAGAAACACCAGAGTCAATCACAACAAGCTTCTTCAACGTTGTGTTGTTTATCCTTTCAATAATGGTAAGTAAAATATTTTATATGAGTGGTTCTCACTCTAATATTATTAAATTAAGATCAATCTTCATTGTCTGCTATTTCAGTATAAGTAAAAGAAACAGGAACTGTACTTCTCTGGGCAAACTTACGAGAGTCTTTCAGACAACAGCAAAGGGGCCTAAACTTTAAGAACATGGCAGCCTGGGAAAATTGGTTTTGGCTCATAAACTGCAGTTTGCTCCACAACGTAAGAAGTATACTTTGACTTATGTTTTAAAGTCTATGTTTAAATTTAAGTGAGTGTCAGGCCTTTTATTTTATACAGGGTATAATGTATAATCCATTGTTTTATATAATTTATTGTTCATTTACCTATTCACATTTAAATAAACCCATTTAGTGTTCCACATCCTAAATTCCAAACTAATAACAATGAATATTTAGCCCACCTTTCAAACAGAGAAGTATCACATGGTGTCATCTGCTATGTTCCAATATCTGGTGTAGAGTAAAGGTTTTCTGTTTGATTCCATTGAGTTGCTATGGCTTACCTAAATATTGGGTAGATAAAGTTACACTTGGGATCATTGGGAACATGAGGGCCACAAACAGAATAGCTGGAGATGGTTAACCCAAGGAAATATCTATTATTGTAAAACCCAAAAACATGAAATATTTAAAAACGTGTAGGCAAAATGTTTTGAAAATGACTTCTTAAAGGTTAAATAAGTCCTAAAGTTGGAAATAAACCTTATCATTTCAAATCTTATTAAATATAATAATTTACAAGGGAGTTTTGGATGAGGATGGTGATACAGTTATCCATCAGGATATGATTCCAGGCTTTTTCGTCCACCTGAAAGTCCATTTCATATGTTGATCATCATTTGTGGGGAAGTGTGGAAAATAAGTTCCTGACGTTCAATTTGACTCTGTTTACTAAGGTGAACTTGTCTCATGTGAACAGGTCTCTTTGTCTCACTCTGAAGGTTTAGCATTGATGCAGAGTTTACGATTTATATTATTATATCATTTACTATGTTACCTATCTTATAATATCACTTCTATTTCTGGCAGAAAAAGGCTAAATTTTTCCTAATTTATATTGGATTGTGGCTCTTCTTTGATCTTCCACCAGGACTTGAATTTTTCTCACATTGATGGTCACATTACACACCAATTAAGATGTAAACGGGAAACGCAGTCAGATTCAGCAACTTGCATGCTACGGTTTTGGCTGTATAGGTCAGAAATTTATTAGTGCTTCTTTATCTATCAGTGATTGAAAGTGAATGTTTAAATATAGTGCTGACAGTGCTCTGCAATGCCGAGAATTTTCAGTATCTGAAAGTCTTAAATAATCACCTTCCTCAATGCTCCCAGATTTCGCATCCTTCTTTTTCAGTTTCCTTTTAGAAATTTTCTGAAACGGTGCAAATTCAACCACAGCTGGGTATTCCTGACCTGGAGATGTTACAACCACAGGAATAAAAATGGTTCATTGATTATATAAAAAGACATAGCTAAACCAGAATTATTCTGGGTGAACGTAAGCATTGTGTGTGTTTAATGAATAGACAAGGTGATAAAAATATTCAAAATATGACTGGTCTACAGATAAAGACCAAATTATCATTTGTTATAAGATGGCATTACATTTCGATTTGGTCTCTAGGGCCCAACCTATGAGGTATATTTTAATTTCAGGCCGTTTCAAACTTTTAAACTAGAAATGCACTTCATCAGTTTGAAATGTGATCGAGCTTGATCTACTGCTCAGTATTAATCGTCCTTCAGTTCACAAGCATTACTTCTATGACATCAATATATTCAACAAATCCCAGTGAACTAAACGAACAGAACAAAATGAACTTCTAGTGGCAACCGATTAAACATCTTGGATTCAGATAGGTTAAATTTTTGTGCAGATAATAATTCAATCTAATGTTGTTTGGTGCAAATGTTATTTTGGAAGTCACTGTCCAATGGACTTTGTGGGAAATATAGTAGTAATGAAAGTCCCTTGTAAAAATTAAATAGTCTAATTTGTTTGAGTAGTCATTAAAACTTGCTGCATCTTTACCTTTATTATCAATGAAGATATATCCATCAAATCGGTCTCTGAAGAGAATTATATCATCAGGATTTTTAAAATTGATGTAAGCTCGAGAGAACAAGTGGGGATACAGGCTGGATGGAAAATAAAAACATATATACAACAATTCATAATGTCATACCAAATCTACAAGCAGCAAACAGTTCTAACAAAAGTGACCGCTAAGTAAAAGGTCTCAAAAATTGCTGAAAATCTGCACAAGATATTAGTAATAAAAGCTAATGGGAAAATCCATTCATTTGCTCACAACTAACCAGCATGATTACAGAGTTTACTAAATTTATTTAAATATACTGAGGGAAATTAATGAAAACGGATAACTTGTCTAAATTCTCCGCATTCTCCCTTTTCCACAGAGTAAACTATTCAAAAATCAATTATGTGAAATTAACATTGCCATCTAAATTATTTGATGTTCAAATAATCTACTGTAATAGATATTGTTGCAAAAGACGAATTTCACAAGTTTCTGAATTATTTTTAGTGTTTAAAATATTGCAATTTGCATACAAGATAAATTAAAACTCTTAGTGGCAAACTGTTAAGTGCAGTACAATTAAGGTGACTGCAATTCAAAGGATGACTTGTCTTTATTTCATAAGGTCAGAGTTGAAATTGGGGGAAGAAAACTGGTTGGTGAGTCCTTTCTGAGTTTCATGAAGGAACTGAGATGTCTGCGGTTGTTAATTATTCATATAGTTTTCTAGAACAAAGAGAAAGTTTGGGATTAGGGAGATCATGTGTTTGAACTTAAACTTGGAACATCCCAGGGATGCTACATTGCCATAGGGATGAATTGCAGGGAGGTGGTTTTCTTGGTTTTGGGTTTTATCTGAGTTTTATCATAATAATATTCAATCTTTGGAAATAATTTGATTAGAACTTAAAAAGTGATAAATTTGAACAAAGCAATAGTTGGGTCACAATTACTATCCCTGCATTCTTCGGGACACCCAGTCAAATCTAGAAGGGCTCCAACATTATATAGACAAATTAAAGAAAGGGCCTGTGTCTGTGTTGTGCCTTTCATAAACTCAGGATTTACTACCATTGAAATGATTTCAGCATGAAGTCACTGCTGTAGTGTAGGGAATGTGGAAACAATCCATGTTAAGTAGGGTCACAAAACAGCAATAAAACAAAGACTAGACAATATACATCAGTGTTGTCACTGCAGGGATAAATACTGACCAAGATCACATGGAAGATCCTTCTGTTCATCTTTAAGTAATGGCATAGAATATTTTAAAAACACTTTGGAGATGCTGATTAAGTCTCAGTTTAATATTTCATCTGGAAGAAGGCATCTTCAATAGTGGGAGCAGACTTCACTAAAATATGAATTATTTGTGAATTTAGACTCACCAAAGGGTGATACCAGGATAACAATATATTGATATGAAGATCTAAGATACTAACGGTGATTTTCCTCTTGCTGTTGGGATTTAAAATTGGCACTGCACGTTAGGACTATAGAAACTGCAGAAAGTGCCGAACGTAACTTATAATGAATTAAGCAGAAAGAGAAATGTAGAGGTTTGTGCGTACATGCACGTGTGTCTGTATGGGAGTGATGGTGGTGGGTCATCAGCAGTAGAATGGAACAATCCAAAACTTCAGTTTTAAGCCACATCCCATTGCTGACTATGTCCACTACAGCAGAAAAGTGTAAGAATTTGAGATCCAGTAAAAGTTTATAAAACTGAATTTTTTGATACAATGAATACAGAATGGCAGCTTTCATTTGATAATGAAGTCAGTGAGAAGTTATAAATTTAAAGTTATCGTGAGTAATGAGGTTGGAAGACGTTTGTTTTCTTTTGCTACACAGAGCACTGTTGGAGAACTGAGTGAATTTAGCATACCTAGTTAGAAGCAGACATAAGAACGGGGAGAAAATAAAGACAATTTAAAAAATATCTTTCATTTGGATTTCATCCCTACACTGTAAACTAGGACCATTTACTAAAACAAAAATTCAACTGTATTGGTTTTGTGAGCTGTACTTACTTATTTCTAATTTTTTTGTTTTCTAATAATGAATATACGACGTGCAAGAAAGGGGACTAGTGGGGATTGCAGGAGCACTTAACATATTTCGATACTTTGAAACCCCAGAGCTGGTAAAACAAAATTCATATAGCACTGATGTTGTAAATATTTAGTTCATAATTCATTCATTTTAGAATATAATAACATGTTGTTTTAGCAATTAAATTTTTAGCTGTAGATAAACAAGGGCATCTGATTGAGAAACATACAAGCAAACCTGAACCAAACGCAATTTAAAATGCTTGAACTTAATTACAGCTAAAAGCTAACCTAGTTTTATCTAACAAGGTAATAGTTCATTGAGAAGAAGTTAAATACATGATCCACTCTAAGCTTGCAATAGAACCAGGTAGTTTGGAGAGAACGCAAATTACATCCACTACGAATTAAAATTATTTATATGCGTTACAGAATCAGAGTTGTACTGAAGATAAAATAATTTTTTTAGATTTGTTTCAGAACACCCCAAAGCATGCCAAATAGCAATTGTTCTAGAGTTTCGCTGGGATATTTTAGTCACAAACGTTAATTTAGTTTTTCTTTTTGTTTGATGACAGAAGCAAGCAGTTTGAACGCAGGCAGAGGCAACTGCAGATTGAATCCTGCATAAGGTCAGAAATCACACAACATCAGGTTATAGTCCAACAGGTTTATTTGAAAACACAAGCTTTCAGAGCCTCAGTCCTTCTTCAGGTATTAGACTGAGGCTCCGAAAGGTTGTTTTTTCAAATAAACCTGTTGGACTATAATCTGTTGTCATGTGATTTCTGTCATTTTCCACCCCAGTCCACCGGCACCTCCGAATCCTGCATAGGCTGCAACTCACTATATGGAGATAACCAATAGAAATTAATATTATGAATAACTCTACTTAAATATAAGCCTGACTCAATTTAATGTTTAACGCATGGAATTCAGGTGGGGGTTAAAGTTTAGCTTGTGATGAGGAAGTAAGTTAGAATATTTGTCCAGTTTGAAGCTCAATGAAGAAGTTAACAGTGGTCCTTACAGAGATTTGTTGCAGAAAGGAGTCAGCTCAGAAACACCCATTCAGAAACTGAGGACGCAGAATGGGGAAGAGAGACAAGAAGCTGAAGGATGCATAGCAGGAAGGCCTTTAAAGGAAACTGGAACATTGCTTAGCCAAAAGCCAATGTAAAGATTCCTATTAACCTTATATTTTGGAGGAAGCTGGAATACAGAGAAGAATTAAATTCTGGAGAGTGCAGCCTACTTTGGACTGGTCCCATGAAAAGCGAATGGGCTTTCAAGATTTCACAAGATTACAGAACTCTTAGGTAGAAGTAAAAAGTAGAACTAAGTTTATAGCTATAACTTTAATTGTATTTATTGTTTCTTTCTTCTTTAATACACAATAAAATTTGTTTTTGATTAAAAACAGGAAATTTAGTGGCAGATTTCTTTTGGTTATTTGCTGCATGTTTCTTTAAATGTTAGCATTCCAAATAGGATTGCAACAGTAAACAGCAAGGGTTCAAAGTTCCTAATCACAATATAAATTGTTCTAGTGAACTGGTTCAACAGTGACTAACAATTAAAACAAGAATACCAGTCAGTAGAATTTAAATTCCATTTTTTTTTTCAAAAAAGGACCTTAGATGATAGGAAGCTACAATAACAACAATTCTATTCACATCCTTTTCAAAAAAAATGGTGATCTTTCATGGAAAATCATTTCTTAAGGATGTGACATGCCAAAAACACAAATACCATTTTACAGATATCTAAATTTTGAAAATGGAAAGCGCATCCTAGAAATAAACTACATATAAGAAACACTAGTTACAGTAAAATTATGTAATAATCAGTTTCAAATTACTGAATCAATCTTACTAGTTTTTAAGTATGCATTATTGGATTCCTATGTAAATGCAAGTTGTTATTGTATTATATTCCTTCCAAAAGCAATAAAATCCACTTATATGGGTATCCAATTCTTATTAGTACCTTATATCAGCAGCACAAAATTCAAAATAGTCATGTGTTGGTAGTGGATGCAGTTGTTCCTCTAGCTGAGCTTTAGTCAGAGTAGGAGGTAAACGCCGAATCACTACCTGCAAACACATGAATGAAGGGATTAGAAGTTTTTTTTAAGTATTACGTTCATCAAATAACCTGGATAATCATTCCTCACATCTTAGTTAATTCATCCAGCAAGATCCTAAAGGACCCCCTCACCCAAAGCTGGAAATTGTTTTTTTTCCAAATGATTCTGAGGACATAACCTCTTCTAAGTCTATCTGGTGAATCCAGTAATTTGAAGTACTGTGAGCTGAAGAAACATTAGCATGCTTCTCACATTTGTGTGTTAATCTGCTTCTTGCTTTCAACCTAGAACACTGGATACAGCAATGTGAAAAGGAGAGTCTAAAGCAAGTCTCTCCTTGTCGGAATACAGCATCTCCATTGACAAGTCCTTTGTTGGCCTCCTCTTGATGAAATATGGAAACTAAATCTCTCAGGTCTCCAGTGCCAAATGTAGTGCATCGAACACCTGTATACCCTCTGTTTCTATAATATTCTGCCCAGGCTTGCACCCTGGAAAGGACACTTCAGTTTCATTGAATAAATTAGATACTAAGGCACAAAACATTGTCTCAGGAGATGGATAACACCAGGAAATTGTAATAGGTATAAGGATAAAAGATCCCTATGGTTACAATCAATCTTAGATTAAGAATCTGAGTCATGGAACGTAACTTATTTGTTTTATTTGGCTTTGGGAGGTACTTTGTCACATGTAAGAAAACTTTGAGCAGAAACAGCAATCACACACAATTCAGTTTATAAGCTGCTATTGTGTCAAGTTAAATTCAGATTTAACATTATCAATGTTAAAGCAAATTCTGTAATGCACTTGAGGAGCAATGAATGGGAACTTTTGAACAGATTGCCTGTACCCCAATTTCACTTGTCATCAAGGGGTATTATGTTCCAGGCCTGAACCAGATTGTATGGACAGTCCAGCCAAAAGACAGTGTCAAAATATAAAAATAACTTTTAAAAGTTTTGCAATAAAAACTTTTAATCACTATGGACTTAAATTCAATAAAGCATTAACACAAACCAGTTTTTAAAAAAATACACTAACTTACTCCAGCAACTTAATGGGGCATCTTTATTAGAATGAATACTTAAATGGCAGCTTTGGTGAAACTATACCATTAAAGCTGCATCAATAAAATGTACAAAAGATTTTCTGCTGTTTAGCATCGTCAGTGCAAGATAATGGATATGTCGTATAACTGAAGTGAACCAAAATATGACACAGTAGTGATAAAATAAATGCACAACAAAGGGAATGTGTCAGTATAGTAGGAAATTGATTAAAGGATAGAAGATAATTGTTTTTCAGAATAGAAATGTGTGAATAGCAGTACCCGTTATAGAGTGAGGACCATTGACATGCTCAATAAATGTTACGAACTTGTTTAGAGGAGCCAAAATATCAACATTTGTCAAAAAAACTGAAAAAAAATGAAACTCTAAATTTTATAAAGAGCTTTAATATCCAAAAGCAGAGAGGTAAGCTGAGCCTGTTAAAGTCAAAGTTAGGATAGTTCCCAATTTTCCGATCTCTCTCTGCCTGACTTTACCCACTATACCAGAGAGAGGGTGTGATTGCCTCTTTGTCAAGTTTGATGAGATTTCCAGAATGAATCTCTGACTCACAGAGAAAAAGTAGTTCTTCTGAAAATTTTGGGGTGAACAAGGTCTTTGAAACTGATAAAGGTTTTGACAAGATAAATAGGAATCAATTTTTATTTAATCAGTGAACTAGCCAAGAGGCTATTTCTATTGCAAGAATCAGCCAAGAGGTTAGCTGGCTTTTCTTCTCAGATAATTGTTAGAAAATATAATTACCCACCAGAAGCATATTATTGAAGAGAGAAATGAAAAAAATCCAAATGCTTTATTTCCTGCTAAAAGGGAGCATAAATATTAAAGCAAGTGAAAATACAACCCTTTTTTTAATACAATTCTTTAGTACCTATTTCTTGCAGTGCAGTGCTGCAATACTGAGAACTGAAGAGCTAATTTTGTACTGCATATTCACAGACTATTCGTGGTCATATTTTCCCCTCCCCTTCATCAAACCAGAGATAGAGGTGAAAGATGGGAAAGGAAGAGTCTGTTGAAGATGTTGAAGCAGCAATAAGGGGGATAAAGCAGAACCAGTGAATGTGATCTATTTGGATTTTCGTAAAGTTTTCCATAGATGTTGGCTAGCAAGTAAAATTAGAGCATTCGGATACGGAGTAATATCCTAGCAAATATAGGGTAAATCAGGGAGAGGTGATGGTACTGTCACGAAAATTCCAGAGACTCAGGCAATGTTCTGAGGGCCGAGTTTGAATTTCAAGTGGTGAAATTGGAATTCAATTTTAAAAATTCAGAAAACCATTGTTGTAAAAGTTCATCTGATTCACTCAGGTCCTTTAGGGAAGGAAAAGCTGCCATTCTTATCTGATCTGGCTTACATGTGACACCAAGACTCACAGCAGTGCAGCTGACTCTTAACTAGCCATCAGTCAGAAGTTCCAAGTAGATGATCCAACCCAGCTTCTCCAAAAGGTCTCTAGCGTCACAGATGCTAGTCTTCAGTCAATTGGATTTACTACGCACGATATCAAGACACAGCTGGGAGGCACTGTACACAGCAAAGGCTATCGGCCCTAACAACATTCCAGCAACAGTACAGAACACCTGGGCTCCAGAACTTGCTGCATCCTTAGCCTAGCTGATCCAATGCAGCTACAGCACAGGCATCTACCTGACAATGTGGAAAATAGCCCAGATATGCTCTGTACACAAAAAGCAGGACAAATTGAACCCATGAAATTAATACCCGGCAGTCTACTTGTGATCGTGAAATATCTGCACAGAGGCCAGTACCCTCATCACCAAGTCACTCTTTATTTACATGTGCACAGTGCATGGGCTCTGACCAGCCAGCTCAAAGCTAGTCCCTCAAATAAAGAGACTCTCTGCATTTCCTGTTTATGCCTGTCAGCTCAGGCTCCCTGATTCATCCAGGTTAACAACCCCAATCAAGGATCTCATTCCAATCACTACATCCATCCCAGCTAGGTCCAGGGACGTAGGTCTGCTCTTTCTCTTGTAGCTACTCCTGGGACGTTTTCATCACAGGTCCGGTTCCTCTGACTCAGACACGGGCGGTGAGTACCAACTGTGGCCAGTCTTTTGTGCCCGGAGTGTCCTGGGAGAGTTTCTTCCTCTTCTTCAGGTGGTAAGGGTATTTAGGCTGCATCAATCTTGGACTCTGAGGTTTCTTCGACACTAGACAGTGGGGGATAAATCATGGTTTCTGACAGCCACTTTGTTTGTTCGGAGGGGCCAGGAATTTTTTTGTTCTTGCCCCGTTTGTGAGGTAGCAGTTTTCATGTGATCCACATTTGTTCAGGACTGCCATACCTACCCGAAATCAGTATGTCATGGGATCGGACCTCGCGTCAACCTAGCCTTGTATCAATGCAGGGCCATTTAACTGGTTTTGACTAAACTTCGTCCTCTAAAGTAAACTGTCACTCTCACTTAGAGGGGGTATGCGACTGGCATTGGTGTTCCTGCTGCGGGTTCACTCCTCACCTCCCCGTTCTCCCAGGTCCAAGAATATCAGGTTTAACTTGGTGCGGAGTCTTCTCCCAATCAGCAACTCTGCTGGAGCTATTCCTTGTAATTGCATGACGGGTGGTCCTTTAATCAAACAGGAACTGGGGCAGTTTGATATCGAGTGAAGCTGTAAGCTGTTTCTGTAAGCCTGCCTTTAACATTAGGACTGCTCTTTCCAATGGACCATTGGAAAATGTCCGAACATACCAAATGCCATTCGACTTTAGGAAATACTTGAAATCCCTGCTGGTTAGTGACATCCCATTGTCTGTGACCAATGTTTCCGAAAGTCCATGTATTGCAAATGATGCTTGTAGGTTTTCAATTGTCATTCCACTCTTGACGCCACTGAAATAACTGCACAGAAGTCGGTATCCCCGTCACCGAGTCACCCTTTATTTACATGTACACAGTACAGGGGCTATGACCAGCCAGCTCAGGGCCAGTCCCTAGAATGAGGAGATTCCCTGAATCTCCTATTTCTGTCTGTCAGCCAGGGCTCCCTGATTGCCCCAGGCTAACAATCCCAATCAAGGATCTCATAGCCAATGAGATCCACCTGGTCCTCATTCCAATCACTACATATTGCCAGTAAAGTGATGGAAAGTGTCATCAACAATTTCAAGCAGCATTTGCTTTGCAATAACCTCACGCAGACACTTAGTTTAGGTCCCACCAAAGACACTTATCTCCAGATGTCATTACAGCCTTGATTCAAACATGGACAAAAGAGCTGAATTCCAGAGGAAAGGTGAGAGTGAGTGACTGCCCTTGACATCAAGACTGCATTTGATTGAGTGTGGCATCAAGGAGCCCTAGCAAAACTGGATTAATGGAAATCAGGAAGAAAGCTCTCCACTCGTTTGAGTCAAAGCAACAAAGGAAGATAGTTGTAGTTATATAGTCAGAGTCATAAAGCACAGAAACAGATCCTTTGGTCCAACTCATCTGTGCCAACCAGACATCTCAATTTGAGCTATTCCCGTTTGCCAGCATTTAGCCCATATCCCTCCAAACCCTTCATATTCATATATCCACCCAGATACCTTTTAAATGTTGTAATTGTATCTGCCCCCACCACCTCCTTTGGCAGCTTGTTCCTGTACGTGAAAAAACGACCCTCGGGTCCTTTTTAAATCTTTCCCTCTCATCTAAACCTATGTCCTCTAGTTTTGGATTCCCCCACCCTAGGAACAAGACCTTGTCTCTTCACTATATCCATGTTCCTCATGATTTTATCATTCTCTACATAGTCACCCCTCAGTCTCCAGAACTCAAGGAAGAAACAATGCCCCAGCCTGTTCAGTGTTACTCTATAACTCAAAACCTCCAGTCCCAGCAACATCCTTGTAAATCTTTTTTGCACACTTTCTAGTTTAATGTATCTTTCCTACAGAACAGCGACCGGAATTGTATGCGC